TCGGCACCTCGTACACGATGTTCTGCGCGGCCATCTGCGCGAAAAACAAGCTCCACGTAAATCCCATCGGTAATGCCCTGAGGCACGGATGCACAAACTCGTCTCGGGCCACTGAGGCCCCTTCCACCAGTCCGATCCCCAGAGCCCCAGCTTCAATAGGAGGGAGACCAACAAATCACACAGAGGGCCGTCGGTGCCGAGCCTATAAAAGCAGTTAGATACATCTCCTCTGGATATGTGCAGGGTATCTCTGGGCCCCACGTCGACGCTGGCGAAATTCTCGACTGTGGCCAATGCCACTCCGGGGGGGGGGGGGGCTGAATTCTTGATTAGCTGCGCGCGCATCCACTATCAGACGGAGTCGACCGTGTTTCTTAGCAACAAAAAACATGGCGCGCTCAGCCCGGCGCTGCCGTCGCCAGATGACTATGCCTTTATTTTGCAACTCTCTCACTAAATCTACGTAGGCACGGCTGCCCCCTCGGAGCCGAGGATCCACGTAGGGCTTCACTGGAGGCTCAGACCTCATATCTTCCTCGTCGCGGAGACAGTCGATCGGCAGCCGCTCGAGCATCGAACGCTCTCGCTCGCCCAACACTTCAGCCGCCAAAGGGCAGTCGGCTGCATCGGCTGGCAGCGACACGAGGTCTCACGCGAACGCGGGCGCCGGGCCGCCAGACGGGCCGCGGCCCGCCTTGTGCCGGAGAAGCGAGCGAGCTGCTTCAGAAGGCACAGAACAATTGGCGTCAGCGTAGTGCGAGACAAGGAAGTCTACGTCTTTGCATACAACCTCCTGTGCCTCGCGAGTGGGACCTCCGTCCGTACGCGGCGCCGCGCCTGCCATCCAGTTCAAAGCCTCACAAGCCGCTCTCACTACCCTCTGCTGGCGCCTGCGCGCCCGCACGCGCTGGGCACAGCTTCGGGAGAGACCACAAGGAGGCGGGGCTTCGACACCTGGCGGTCGAAGAGGGAAGACCTCGCCCGGGAGCCAAGAACCCAGGCTAGCACGCCCGCGCTTAGCCCAGTCGTGCTCCATCTCAGGCCCGCGACTGACAACGGAGAACACTAAAAAGAAAGAGGCGTCACTTTGCGCCAGATCGGGGCGCGTCTGGCCCCTCGCCCTCGACTGGGGCAGGGGTCGGGCGAACCCCCCACTCCCTCAGAGGCTACCCCTTGTCGCCACCAGGCTTCCTCCCGCGTAGCTTCCGGGCCTCTCGCGCCGCGATGCGCTGCTTGTCGACCTCTGCCTCGTCCCTGAGCCTGGCGGCCACGTGGCTCTGAAGAGCCGGGGCAACACCTCGCGCCCTGCGCCCGAGCCCCATGAGGTGCTCGGAGCCCTTCCCAACGGCGGCGCCTCCGCCCGAGCTCGCGTCCATGACCACCTGGGACCGCCCCCCCGCCAACTCCACGCGCATCAGGTCACCGGTGTTCAGTTGGCCGACGGCGCCAGCTAGCACAATCACACTGAGCAGCGCCTCGAGCTCGAGGGCACTTCGATCGTCCTCGGCCACCTTCATGTCATGCACCGCCCGAGCGACGAAGGCCGCCAGGCTCCCGCCGCTGGCGTGGAGGCGACGGCAAAGCCACGCCGCCGTCCGCGGTCCCATCGGCGCCCAGTCGGTGAAGCCTCTCTCGCTGAGGTTCTCCACTACGTTCTCCCAGGTGCGGTGGCTTCCGTTCGTCCGATCCAACACCACGGACAGCGAGCGAAGCTCGTCGTCGTCCTCCTCGTGGGGGGGCCCCACGCGCTGCCGCGGCGCCTGGCTCCAGGCCAGGGGGGCCTCGGGCCGTCTTGTCCGTGACCAGCATCAGCACCACCGGCTTCCTAGCGCGCTGGGTCAGGGCGCGGTCATCAACCACGCGAGCGGCAGATGGGGCGTCCCCTCGGGTCAGCCGCGCGATGCCACACCGCTCCTCGGCGGTCACCCACCTGCCAGGTGGCCGGCCCGCGTCGACTCCCCCGCCAGCTGCGGCGTCAGCCAGAGCTCCTGCCCCACCACGGGACGTCGGCGGCCCTTTGACCGGTGGAGGCAAGGCTGGCGGGGCCGCCAGGGCTGCGATCGCCAGCCCGATGTTCGGCGCCAGCGGCGGTCCAGGCGGGGGAAGCCGGCACCGGCGCGCCGAGGCATCCCTCTGGGCCCCAAGCCCCTGGGCCAGCGGCACCTGGCGGGAGCGGTAGCAGCGAGGGCTCGGATCCCCCAGATCTCCGCCCTCGGCCTCGCTGGGCAGGCGGGTCCACGCGGCAACCTCTGGCAGGGCCCACGTCGCCTGGTAGCAGTCACCGTCAGGCGTCACCGCCCCCACCTGCTCGGCACCTCCGTTGGGAAGGTAGAGGACGCAACGCTCGTGCCGCAGGTCCCGCAGCCGACAGTTGTACTCCACCAGCGCGAAGTTTTCTTCCCTCAGGCCGACGTGCTCGGCAAACGAGTGCTCCATCTCGCCGAGCATGCACTTGCTTGGACTGCGCCCGGGCCTCTTCCTCCAAGGAGAGCGTCGCGAG